ATAGATAATTATCAGTCCATCAAATATCAGCATCTTTATTATCTTTCTTCAATAAAATCTTATTCTATTAATAAAATCTATTAAAATATAGAATTTTCCTTTTACTGAAAGGTTCTGGTTAGGGCCGTCAAAAGCATAAATTTGTATCTAAAGGAAACCACAATTTGCTTCGTGTTAATTAATATAAAGACGTTGTCAAAAGTACCGCAACGGAATGATAATTATCTTAATTAAGGGTTGAATAAAAACGTTCAATGTAAAAGTTGCTTGAGTATTTAGTGGTAACATGATTTTTTTTAACGGAAACTGCTATAAAACATGTGCAATGTAGAATTATAATTTTGTTTTTCACATGATTTTAATGATTGAAAAGAAAATAATGCGCGTCTCAATTCCGGTTCAAAGAATAACCGACATACAACATACCATTATCTGTAGGCATCAAAATTCGATTAAAAGATCATAAAGGCATACACATAAACTATAAAAGCCAACATAAATAAATCGTGGACGCTTTGATCCTTTCACCAAAGCAATGTTTACTTTGACATAATGTAAAATTAGGTTCTTTCTACTTGCAGAGGGAAATGCTACAACGATAGTAGTAAAAATAGCATTAATTTTTATTTACATATTTTTGTTGTGGTCAAATGGCCCTAGTTTGACGATTATTATTGTTCATTACTTACATTTTACTTTTCTATACAATCTTTAAGCGAAAAGTGTTATTTTGAAAGATAAAAGATAGATGATATGACAACGAGCATAAAATAATGAAATTAACTAGGGTGAACCACCTTCAGTTCTAAATAAACAATATAACCCATTGAAGAGCAACTAGCAACTATGACAAACATTATTAAGGAGTATGTATACTAGCTTTTCCTCGCGGCTTCGCACGCAGAAATTAATGTTGTTTCTCCATAAAACCTTCCCAATTAACCCTTACAACGTTTTAATTTTATGTAATGTCGATGTAGATTTCAAATACAAACGTAACAACAACATTTCATCCTTAAGAGTTGATTTTTAAAAATTTCCAAAGCACGTATTTGCTTAATTTCAAAAATGAGCAATCTTCGAGTAAATCCGAGTACAAATAAAATATATCCCATGGAAACGTTGCAACCTCTTTTCATTTGATTAATAATATCAAACAGCATATATACCAAGTTTCAAGTAAATTCAACCACAAATAAAGTATGTCCCAAACATTGCACCACCTCTTTACCCCCCCCCCCTTTGGAGGTTGAATTTTTTAAAATGTCGAGATAGGTCTTTCAAAAATTAAATGAGAAACCATTAAGACCAAGTTTCAAGTAAATCTGACCACGAATAATACATATATGTTCCATTTAAACATTGCAACTCCTCTTCACCACTCATCCCCCCCAACAGAGGTTGAATTTTTTAACCAGATTAAAGTAAATCGGACCAAAAACAAACATGCAATCTTTGCAAACCCCTTTCAGCTTCCTAAAGAGGTAGAATTTTGTAAAATGTTAAAATAGGTATGTATGTCACTAATTTTATATGAAAAAGCATTAAAGGCATGTTTTAGGTAAATCTGACTATAAATAAAACACCATACTCAACCATAGACAACATTACGTTTAACTGTCAGTTGCGTTTTCTTATACCACTTTTTTTCCATGGTAACGGGATAAAAAGTATCCTATGTCCTTCTGGTTCTAAGTTACCTCCTCACCAATTTTCAGCCAAATCGGTTCAGCCGTTCTTGAGTTATAAATAGTGTAACTAAAACGACTTTTATACATGTATGTATATAGATTATTTTGTTTATTATTAAAGTATGCTATTTTTTGTCAGAGGAACTTATTGCTGCAAAAATTATTGAAGAAGTACATAGACGTCGAAAGTTTAGTATGAAAAAATTCTTTTAAATACCTTCTATCATCTTTTAATATAAACAACAAAGAAATATTTATATCCTGTGGACGCAATTTAAATATTTTGTTGAAGGTTTTGGGAATTTGGTTAGTTTAGGACAGTTTCCAGAGAAGCCGCAAAAATTCAGACATCTACATACGTGGTTGAAAAAATATATTCCACACGCTCACCAAATTAAGAATTTATGCTCGTGTGGCATAAAAAGAAAAATACAGTCAAAGTAATGTGTAATTTCTATTCGGTGAAATTTTTGCCTTACCTGTATAATGCCTATGATTTATTTAACACACTGGAAAATTAAACTTTATACGTCGGTAGCATAAAATAATCGCATGTCGATTTAAAACTCCTCTACGCTAAACGACTTGAATAAAATAATGGGTTTAAAACGAACATGATTGCTCATAGGATTACTTTGCTTAACGAGATAATTCCTTTTATCGAATGCAATTAAACACCGTCCTCTAACGTGGTTTGTATCGATAAGAAATTACACGCGTTTGTTAATTAAAACTGAATGACTAATTTATCAAGAAAGCCTCTTGAGACCCCCATCCCCTAATAATTTTGTTTACTTGCCACGTCGTCTGTTTACAAGAGGGTACTTAATTTGAATTTACATTTTCATTCCAATGCTAGGGAAAATACTCAATTGGCACTTACACCCGATCGCTCGAATTTTGTATAGGTAAATAAATAAAACTTAGGTCCGTTTTGGTACTTTTTTTGTTTCTTGTTTGAGTAGACAAATACCTTTGATACCAATTTTAGGATCTACGTTCTTGTAAATGGAAATAGAAAACAGAAAGAAAGACATTCTCGCTATTTGGACCAAAGTTTTCGGAGCGTAGTCCTGAGAAAATTCTACGTTACAGTTTTTGTACGGAACACTTTTCTACAGCTTTTTTAGTTCATCAACAGTAATCTAATCTAGGCCTACCTCTACCCCTCCTAACTCCCGCTTCTATAATATGTCTCTGATTAGACCTTCATGCCTGGGAAGGTGTTCTACCAACCTATCTCGCTCATTTCTTATTGACTTCCGTCCTCTGTACTCCTATTCGTTCTAATACCTCTTCATTTCTAATCTTCTCTATCTACGGTATCCTCGTCATTCACCTGTAACACCTAGTTTCGAATGCTTCCAACTTTTTCGTTTCCGCAGCTCCGACCGTCCATGTTTCGCACCCGTACAGCGCTGCGCTCCAAACATACACCCTCAACAATATTTTTTGAATATCTGAATTAACCGTTCGGGAGCACAGAAATGACTTCTTTTTATAGAAAGTGACTCGACCCTGCGCTATCCTCTGCTTTATATTCCTACTACTCCTTCCGTCCTGACTTATATGATTTCCTAGATACCTAAAATCAGCCACTTCTTCTAATTTTTCGTCTCCTATCTTTATATTCGCTCTTTCCCTACTTTTTCTTCCCTTGTATACCAATATTTTTCTTTTACTTTTTTTTATTTTCATACAGTACTGTTCTGTCAATACCACTTCCATTTTTATTAAAGCTATCTCTGACCCCACCTTGCTAGACGTTAATACAGCTATGGTGGTTTTTATTTTGTAGGATAGTTTTTCAGAATTTAGTCAGTCCTATCCAAGAAGTGTCAAAGACAATCGTTACTTAAATTCGTTACCGTACCGAGCGGCATGGCCTACAGATTTAGACCATCGCTTAGTATTCGGGAGGACGCTGGTTCGATTCCAAATCCGTCTGCCTTAGTCCAAGTTTTTCTGTGGCAAATGCTGGGGCAGTAATAATTCCACAAATAATCTTCCATTCTCTTGTGTCTTCATTTCGTCCGTTTCATCTTTCTCACTGGAGCCACCACCCACCCATTCCCACGATTCCTAAAAAGAGACTGAAGAAGACCTTCCGCCCTACCTTCCGGCGTAATCCGGAGGGACTGCCAGCCCACCAGTATTACTGACTGGTGCGAATGAAACACCCAAAAGTTTTTTTCGATACCGTTAGATAGGTATCCAAGTCAGTCGACTGTAATACATTACTTTAGATTTATAGCTATAAATAATATTAATATGTCAATATCGTCGGGGATGGATGATAGTTGTTCGTCCCGTCGTTATAGACATGTAAATAAAGTTACCGCTCTTTATTCAGCGAACACGACGGTCGCGCACGTCCTCTTTTTGTCCTTCGTCCTGTTGGTGAAGGATAATGTGTGTTTGCTCCGAGGGAGTGAAATTGATTTCCTGGCTGCGGAAGCGATGGCGCGACAAACAAAAAAACCTTTTAAACACGTTCCCGTTATCTGGACTCGGTGCCGGCGTTGTCGACTATAGAACGACGACGTCGATGACGCTTTGTTGTGTGTGCATAGGCGCTCTCGAACGGCGCGCCTCGTCGCTACGAACTCCAGCCTCTTCAGATAACTTCTCAACGCTGCACCGCGGACGAAACATCTGCATTCGTAACTAAAGATCCATGGACAACGCCATTAAATCCTAAACGATGTAAAGAACAAATTTTATCCATCATCACAAAGATTGCTTATCTTTGGCATTAGTAAAGAAAGAGGTCCGATACTCCTGTTAAAACAAACTCGAACTAAAATGCCAGATTTGTACTTTACCTTCACTTTACAGTAATAACTTCGTCACATAAGCGATCTAATACCTGATACAACATAGAAAAGCTGTTATATTAAAAAGTAGAAGTAGTAGGCCTAAAAAGGGAGACAATGATTATTATTTTTGGTTTCTTATTCACAATCTGCTACCCCATCCTACTAAAATAACTTTCCAATATGGAAATTAACTTACAAATTTTTCGCAAACTAAAAAAAGTTTTCAACTAATATCTAGTGTTATTTGACGTTGTTTTTTTCAAACTTTTAGTATATTACGTAGGTATTATATCAATATGCGCTCGTTTAATAAAAAATATAAAAACTAGCAAAGCTGGTATCAATATTTGATGCACAATTAAAGCGACGCATACATATCAACCGCAAAATAAAAAACTCAGATAATTCAGAAAGATTATATTAAGACTTCATTCACTTATATCTTCTGCCTTTCTTTTATTATTTTTTTAATTTCCAATTTTTGTTACAGGGGCGTACTCGTTTCACAACTGGTAATATCATATTGTTTGTCAGGTAAGTTTAAAAACTTGTGTCTATTTAAACATACCATTTCAAGTATTGTTTTTCACCTGGATAACATATCCTTGTTAACTTGGAGACATGAAACTAATAACAAATCTGTAGTGTTGTATGAAGGATCATGTTATAGTTCTTTAAAAAATTGTTTTTCTCACTTACTGCGTCCTACATGTAGGTAACTGGTATCCTTTTTTTATTTTCGAAATTATAATCGCGACCCTGAATACAATATAGAACATAGCTAAAAGGCAGCTATAAAGCGACAATTCGGTATTTCAGAAGAATTTTTTTGTATATTTGTTCTCGATGTACGAGGGTGGATTGATAAGTTTCCGGCCTGACCAAGAAANTCACCTCAAGGTAGGCCTAGTGGCGTCATCTCTTGGTTAGGCCGGAAACTTATCAATCCACCCTCGTATGTCAGTCATCAAAACATACAAAGGTTTAAACGAAATTCTGTGATCTCCTTTGAGTTTTTCTTTGTCTGATATCCGTGCACAAAACACATGTGAAATAAACCTATCCTTTTGTAAATGTGAGGACAACACAATGTTCAATGGTAAATTCAGGTCAAGAGATTTAGGGTTTTAACGATTAAGAAATATGGTAGGTATAAGAATATAACCTTGGATACCCTTGGAAACCACTTACCAGAAAAACAGGATAAGGGAAGCCAGGGTAAATTAGACCAATGAAGATTCAGAGTGAAAATATTTTTTTGTGCAATTAGTTAATTTCTAAACAAATTTGACATAATGTTCAATCTTCAATGAACATCGATTTGCTATAAAAGTTAGTCATTTTATGTAAAAATTAATATTAGAATACAAATACCTGCAATGAAGTACAGAAAAAAGTTCAGTTAGCCCCACTGTCATCCCAATTTTACTTTTTTTCTTCCACGAAATAACAAAAATATTATTATAGGTAATATAATAGTAATGGAAATAAACAAATTAAAATTTTCTTGGCTTGCGATAAGCGTATCATTAGTCTGTGTTTCGGCGTGATTAAGCATATTATTTGACGAATTCTAACTGTTTTCAAAAAGATTTTCGTCAAGATATTGATTCGAAACACGAACTGAAATGTTAAGTCATCATAACTTCTATTTGGGAAAACTCAATTTAAAGTACGACAAGGAAGACGAAAATTGATGAATTTAAGTTCGTAATTGAGTAAAGTGTTTATAAGGATTACTACTAACATCGTCTTTATGTTTCAAAACCCATTTTCGTAAATGAATGGTAAAATTCGCCGCTTTGTCGATTTAAACTCTATTTCTAAATGATTCCAGTAAAAGTTTAGATTACTGTTTTGAAAATCTATAAACATTATTGGTTTTTTATGTAGCGGCGTAATAGTACAACACTTCCTCTTTCCCAATATTTTACCAAAAATATCAGCAAAGTCACTTAAAATGTTTATTATAACCTACTCTAGTAATTACTGAAATCAGGATATTTGTTTGGAATTTCGGAGGAATTACAAAAATTATTATGGAATTACAGGGATTTATGGGGAGTACGGCAAAGTTAATGGGATCTATGAAAGTATAGGAATAGGAATAATTTATAAATTATAGGGATTATTTCCCTAAAAGGAATTTATGGTGTACACATTTTCGTTAGTAGTTTTCTTCTCGAAAAAAGGAGATTTTTGTTTAGTTTAAAATATAATTTTTGTGTTTAAAGATTACTTGCACTTTGAAAAATTAATTAAACACTTGTGAATAACTAAAGAAAAAAAGGTCTAATTTTTTTAAACATCCTTTTTATCGGAAATCATAAGAATTATCGGGAAAATAAAGGAAATTTCAGTAAAAACCATAGGAAATTCACCTGGTAACGCTGGCTACTGCCGCCGTAACGTGTGATAAGGGATGTCGTTCAAAATATAGAAATAGTAATAATATTAAAAGTGACGGTATATTATACATTAAAACGAAACCGTAAACAATGATCATTGTTCATGTGACACAGTAAACATGGTTTAATATTTTGTTCACGATTTCTATCATACGCAAAGGGATCTTGGATTACGGCATCAAAACCTTTCTTACCATGTTTCGGAACACATAATAAATTAAAAGAATAAGTATTCGTTTTTATTATAGAAATAAAGTCCTGCTTTTCGCCTTTAATGTACGGCTTTCCTACATTAAAAGCGAAATGTAGGTGTTATTATTTGCGGTATTAAATTGCGTTTTTACCTCTAACTCGGCTTTAATTTCTATAATAATAACCTTAAAAGGAAAGAAGTACTTATTTCACATTTCTGTCATATTTCAAACCAATTATTAATTGAACCAATTTCTTTCATAAACTTTCATTAAATATAAGCAGTCCAAAGTTTGTGACTTCGCATTTGAAGCCTTGACTTCTTTAGGTACCTAGTGGCAAATACTATGTATCCTACTACATTTTACATAGTTTAGTTTATTTGCTTTTACATATATAGAAATTCACAACAATTAAAATAATTATTGTAGCGGAAAAGAAAAGTTTAGAAGCGTTCGAAATGTGGTGTTACAGGCGAATGATGAGGATACCGTGGAGAAGAGGTTAGAATGAAGAGGTATTAGAAAGAATAGAAGAACAGAGGACTCTATGGAAGTCAATAAGAAATAGGCGAGATAGGTTAGTAGGACACCTTCTCGGAAACGGAAGTTAGAAGGGGCAGAGGTAGACCTGTTCGCAGATAGTTAAGGATGTGGGTTGTTCTAGTTTTAGGGAAATGCGAAGATTAGCTCAGGATAGGAAAGAGTGGAGATACGTGTCCAACTAGTCTTAAGACTGACGACCTTACCTTATGATGATGAGCACTTCTGTAATGTTAACCAAACCCAATTCAACCTATTGAAAATATGGAAAATTATTTTCCTTTTTACACTTCAAAAACTCCATCCTTAAATATATGGTAATAATTGTGGTAATACTGTCATGTATACTTTATATTCATGTGGTTCGACTGGAACAGTACCTGTAGTCTCATATCTTTTCGTGTGGTGTGGTTGTGATGATTTAAGGTTTCTTTTTATCTTTGTATTATGTAACCAGTGGTGGACTAAAGCGGAAAGAGGGTCCTCTGGTCCGGGACCCTTCAAATTTCTAGAAATTATCAATGAAATTTCATGCAAAGGCAAATGCGTTCAGTATAAGAGGTATTTTAGACTTTGGAATTGTACACAAATTATAACTAGGTTAACTCTGAGTCAACTAAAGTGGTGGCTCATGCAATAAAACTGCCAACAATAGGCTGCCTTTGCTTATGCCTAAGTGTAATTACAACTTTATGGAACCATTCAAACCAAACACGTTTTATATTCTGTTATATAACTGTGTCTACAATGGTCAAAATGTTTGAAAACATACAGAAAGGTATATTCAAACGAATGCCACTGCTGTTATATCGAAATATGGGAGATACGCAGGTAGTGTAACATTTTTGATGAATTGCACCTGCAAAGATAAATTCAATAAGGGTTTTTGTCCCTTAATTTCGTCACTAAAGGAAATTTGGGCCGCCCTACTATTGCCACAAATAAGAGCTAAAAATGTAAAAAAAAATGTCACAAAGTCGGAAGTGATGAAGTGAGAAGTTTTCTACTCTCTGAAAGGTACGACTGCCGACTATATTAAATAAAGAATTAAAAAAAGGCAAATATACAGTTCAATTCTTCTTTCATAACCAATAATCGGAAAACAAATTTTATCAACACATCCAGCAAAAAAAGACTCATTTATTAACGGCTAATAAAGATGAGAAAATGTAGTTTATATTCGGTATGTTTCGTAAATTAAGCAATTTGATGAAAGCCTCTAAGATTTCCCATACATTGCGCCCCAGTTCATAAATACAGATTACGCTCTGACTCCATTAGTTTGAAACAATCTATACGAAACATTCATTCTCAAACCTTCTTATCTACCAACATTCCTGTCATTATTGAAAAGGCAATTAAAACACTTGCTGTTATTATAAACGGTCAAATCAAGAAATAATGAGTTTTTACTGATCTTGACAGCAGTATTACTGTGAGGCTTAAAATTCCTGTAACAAATTATAGTCCGTATAAATACTTACACATCTCGTCATTATTTGTAGTCGATCTGTTATAATACTCGTTTTGTGCGCAATTTTCCATGAGAAATGGTGGAAGCTGAATTCGTCATTTTAATCCTTAATTCCAAGCGGTTGCTTGTTATTATAGGAAATAAACGAATATAGCAGCTTTTATCTTGTGAATACCCTCTCGTTTACGCTTTTCACTAATGTAAGCAACGTGGTCAATTCAGTTAGACAATTTGAAATACATTAGTAGCTGCAAATACCCACTAGATGGCGAATCTCTGCCTTTATTTCGATATTACATCAGCTTGCTCTTTAGGAGATTTTTCGATTTGCTTATGGTGTGCTGATCAGATCTAACAAGATCGAAATTGCGGTAAGCGTCTGGTAGTATCGACAAAGAATGGATGTCAATAACCTTAGTAATTTCCCCTGTAATTAGGGAATCTTTTCAAGTAGTTTTTACATTGTTTTTATACATCACCGCAATCTTGCAACACTGTCTTTTACATATGTGATGTAGCATATTGTTAACAATAATATATATAAATATTAAAGTGTTGGTCCAGTGCGCTCATATATTGCGCGAACGTATACGTAAGTGGTACAGCAGTTTAATGATTTAGGGCTGTATGAGCTGTATGTTCATAAGGAAAGAAATGATATAATCCGTGCTCAATTACAATCGCGACATTCATCTTCAAAAATATATACCTAATGCATGGATTCAATATAATAATTGTTTTTCACCACCAGTTTGTGGATGGTACTGCCAGTGTAAAGTACGTACACGAGTCGTGGGCTGTTGTGCACATGTAGCTGCAGTTCTCTGGTATTTAGGACACAACAGGTACTTGGAAGAAAAAAAATCTCAAATGGTCAATTACAGTGACTACATCTTCGACGCCGCTATGTCACAGTGG